TACTTACAGGCTGTGAGTCAGAAGCGCCAGACTGTCCTTGCAAAGTTGGAACTGCCCCACTTTGTGCACAGGCGCATTGTAGGCTACTCTCACAGGTTCAGGAAACAGTCCTCCGTAAAATACGCAGCACACATCTGAATATTTGGGTTGAACTGTTCTGGAACAGTGTTGTAAATACAACTTAGCCACTGATTTCTAGTTGTGTCCTCTTTTGGAAGGCCAAACAAAGTAGTTTCGCTTTCACAACGAAACACACAGCATCTCCACGACATGGTGGCGGTGGCAACAATACTACAGCGAGAAAGTTACGCCTTCTTTCTTTGCATGAACATTTGGGCGGTGTTATGCAAATCTTCCCACACAGTGACGTAGACATGTGGGGGCGTGTTTAAACGAGGCGTTTTAGGAGGACGTGGACGAGTCTTAACTTTTAGAAAGAATATTTCTTTGGGTTTGAGACTTTAGTCTTTGCAACTTTAGGGATCTTATCTATGCACGAATAACTTGTAACACTCCAAAGAGAAAAGAAAACTTGAAGTTGCATCATATGACCCCTTTAACAATATTGACCTTGAAATAGGCTCAGACCACCCAGGCCAAGTACATATTGAAAAATATACAATTCTTAAAAATGCTCATACTCACTTATTGTTGTCATTTTAATATTGAATACTTCTAATTCATCTAATGCTTAAAATAGTTTCTGTGCTTCTCTGCGAATAATCCCATCCTGAGAATTAATGAGGTATTAATGCCACTAGACCAAAACTTAGATCACTGCTCAATGTCCAGCTGCCCATTTGTTGCAAGTCCTTTGGATTTTGGCATCATAACCATTGAAGTCAGAACTCTGGACACTGTCGAACGGAATAACTGTCTGTTTGCTGCCTGAGGAAGTTCCACTGGACTAAGTACTCCCAGACTCATGGCAAGTGGAAGCTGACTTGAACCCTCTAGAATTGTGGGACCACTAACCAATTGTCTGCTCTGTCCACCTTTCCCTGGTACAATGTTCTGAACACCATTTACTAATAGCTGACTGTTATTTACCTGTCCATTTGCAACTTGAGGCAGTCTCACTAGGTTTGGAGTTCCTGCGCTCATAGACACAGGATACTGACCTGGGCCTGCAACCAGTAAATTACCTCTACCAACAGGAGCCTCTAGAATAGAATGACCACTAACCAGTAGTCTACTCTCTTCACCTTTTTTTGAAGCACTCTGGTAAGGACCACTTACTAATAGCTGGCTGTTTACCTGACCAGTTGCAGTTTGAGGCACTGTCACTAGGTTTGGAGTTCCTGGGCCTCCTATCAATACATTGCTTCCATTGACAGGAGTTTCTACAATTGTTACGGTACCT